GCAGACAGGCAGACGAGCTCCGAGCCAGCTTCCATGTCAGAGGATGAAGAGAGCACATTCAGCCAGTCACAGTCAGAGAAACAGGACTACACTGATAAACAGACTGATCTCCAACATCTATAAACAAAAGTGTTGATGGCAGCAGCACAACTGATATTTCTCTCCAGGATGGAGTCACAGCCAAACAGGAACAGACAAGATGAAGCTACTGTGAGAAAAGGCAGAGAGAGCAGAACGTTAGAGATTGAACTAACAGATTCTGAAAATTGGGAGAATAGAGATAGAATGAAGCAGAATTATGAAAAAGGGGTCCCTATGTCCTCCAGAAGTCTAAGCCTATAGCAGCATAACTATAGAGATAGCTCAGGATAACCTGAGCCACTCTAACTAGAAGCTTTTTAGACTATAACTTCTGTTTTGTCTGCATTCAGGAGCAGAAAGTTAAGAGTCATCCAGGTTTTTATGTCTTCAGACATGCCTGTAATCTATGTAATGGGTTAGCTTCATCTGGATTTATAGACAGATACAGATGGGTATCATCAGCATAACAGTGGAAATTAATCCCATGCTGTCTAATAACTCTACCTGTTGTGGTTCCAGTTTGTGGGGTTAGTTTGTGTTCTTTTTCAGTTCCACTGTTCGTCCACCAGATGGTGCCATTGGGTTACTTCTGTCTTGGGGGGCTTGCCTACACTTCTCAATTACCCACACATGCAACAAATCTCTCATCACCTCTGAGGAGTATATGAGCAGCTAACTGCCATCACCTTTTCGCTTAGAGTGGTGGTTCTTCAAGGGACTCCACCTCCAGATGAAGCCTGTGAGCCAGGTTGACATCTATAAAGTCAGCATCAGCCCCAGAATCAATGAAAACAGGAAACTGCAGTTGAGAGAATTCAGGAAATGGGACGGTGCTCTGATTGTGAGGAGGTTTCCTGGACCTTAGATTAGACTCAGTAAAGACCCCCTCGGCTTTACTGAGTCTGTCCTTTTAACGGACAGCCAAAGGCAATTCCTCTCACCACAGTAGAAACACAGCGGTCTCTGAACCTTTTCTCCCTTTCTTCAGCAGAAAGTCTGGTCCTACCCAACTGCATGGGTTCCTTAGGTAACGCAGCAGGAGATGCAGAGGCTTGGTTCATATTGCATGGACTGACCTGGACAGTGGGGACCCTTCTTTGATAGAAAGTAGACCTGTTTCTTCTTATTTCACGAAGGCGTTAATCAATCTGAAAAGCCAACTGTTCCAGACCTTAGAGGGTCTTGGGAGGATCACGGGTAGCAATCTCATCACGGGTAGCAATCTCATCCTTAATATCATCTGACAGACCCTGATAAAGAAAAAAAATCTAATAAAGCCTCCTTATTCCAAAGACAACTGGACCTCAAGGCATGAAAATTGATGAAGTAGTCAGTCACTGGTCGAGAACCCTGTTTGAGAGAAAAAAAGTCTCCTTGCAGCCTCCCTC